GTGTGTGTGTGTGTGTGTGTGTGTGTGTGTGTGTGTGTGTGTGTATGTGTGTGTGTGTGTATGTAAGTGCTGGTGCCTGTGGAGACCAGAGGCGTCAGATCCCCCGGAGCTAGTTACAGATGGTTGTGCTGTCTGATGTGGGTGCTGGGAATTGAAGCCGGGTCCTCTGGAAGAAGAGCCAGTGCTCAGTGCTCTTAACTGCTGAGCGTCTCACACACTTCTTGACAGTGTCTGCTAGTGCAGTGACCCCTGAGCTCCCTCCCAGCAGCAGGCAAGGCAGCAGCTTTCTCTTCGCTGCTGTGAGCCGCAGGAAAATGTAATGGAATTCAGCTCCTGTCACAAAAGCTACTCCTCGGAAAGGTCGAGGACTTTCCCGAAGGTCAAGCCATGGCTTAAGAAATCTTGGTGAGAGTTTAGCTTTTGTATATATATTAGCTAATTCCTGCAATGATTCCCTTATATGCTATGTATGCTTCCAAGAACTCATAACAGTGTATTTTATCTGAAATACCTATCAAGCGTCCAAGGCCAAACGATCTCCTGAGTTAAGGCAAATTAAGCTCAGACCATCCTTTCTTATACAGCCATAGTGGTATTTATATTAACATTATAGACTCCTAACATTTACCTAACCACCTCTAGGAATGTAGCGTGAGCACATAAATTCCCTTTTTCTGACATATTAACCGATTTTGGCTCTGAGTTGACCTCCTCCTTTACCACTCCCCTTTTGGGTTGTGAAAGAAAGTCTGAGGGTCACAGCCTGAGGAAAACTCTTGTCTGCCTTTATGACCCTGTAAGAATTCAAGCCTGCTGACCTTGCTTTAGCTAGAGCACTGCTATTGCCTGGGTACATAACTGTAAACCTCAGAGACTTAGGGAGGATTTTGACTGGAGAAGATTTTGACTGGAGAACTAGATGGAGAACTAGAAGAATGAGATGGAAGATGAGGAAGAGCCAGATGAGGAAGAACGAGAGGAGAAAGACCAAGATGGGGCAGATGATCTAAGATGAGAGAATTAAGTTAGAACTTAGAGGGGACAGCGGATAAAGGTAGAGACAAATCAGGCAAGAAAGGAGCTAGGCACGAGAACAGAACTGAAGCTGTGTAGACAGGATTTTATCCCAGAGGAATAAAGTAGACGGACTAAAGAGCTCAGTGTACTTAGATTCTTTTCCCGAAAATAATTCATGCCATTTGTAGCTTCTCTTCTGGGCCCCCTGGGAAGAAGATTATTAAGGCTGGTCCCTAGTAATTTACGAAACTTCATGAAGGAATCTGCAGAGCCTTCCAACAGTTTCGTTCACCTCACCTCTCTACGTCTCTGTTGTCAGAGTTTGCTCATACAGAGGGCTCATTTACACGGTCACCTAAACTACTGAATCACTGCTATTTCCTCAACAACTCCCTATTTGCCACTGGTCCCTCCCTCCAGCCCCTCCCCTTCTTTATAGACGTTAAACCACCACGAGGTAAAGGGTCTATAATAATGTCTTTTAGAGACTTAGGGAAAAGGACAGATACCATCTGAATCTAGACCGTGTAAATCATTCTAGAACGTGTAAATCATTCTAGAACGTTAGTGGAGCCTACCCGAATGCCGAGAAGAGGAGCAGAACAAGGAACCATTTTAGAACAACAAAATTATAACTGCTCCACAGAACACAGAGTCCATTTGGAAGATAAGACACTTGAAGAAGCTGGGTAGAAGGATTTAAACTGTGTCTAACCCCAGGTCCTTGGGTGTGTAAGGGGCAGTGACCCGAGGGGAGGATTGCATGGGATCCTGCAGATAGGACTTGGACAGAGAGAGAGGAGGAAGGACCCATTAGACATGCCAAGAGACAAGGGTGGGGAAGGTGGGGTGGCATCGATGCCTGGACTTCCCAGGATATCCCAGATGTTCCTCCTCAGCAGACAGGCTTGCTGAAAGCCTGACAGATAAACCCATCTTTCCCCTCTTTTTCATCTGCTTCTCCCTCCCTACTGTCTAAAAGAAAGTCGTGTCTCCCTTCCTGTGTCCCGGACACTAATCGCTCTCCTTCCCTCTACATCCATGGCTTTCCACTTGACCAGATATAAGAATCTTCCGCTTGTTAAAATAGTTCGCGAGGCTCCAAGCCCGGAGTTTCTGCTTGTGTTTCTTTGGGTAGGGCCTATAACTGCATTTCTGACGTGTTTCCTGGAGACGCAGATGATCTGGGGAACATGCTTTGAGAAGCTCTGAGTGAGGTCATTGTCCCACCAAAGGTCCCCCCTCTCTTCTGTATAGTCACTTATCTCCTCTTCCTTGGCCGAACTGGCTCGCGGTGTACAGGCTTCCGGCTTCCCTCGAGGCGGCTTCCTCTCTGCACACGATCCACCTTTCTTTTTTGTCTCCCACATTCTCGTGGGGACAGCCCCTCACTGTTTTAGCACTTGTGACATCACCTTACCCACAATGACCACAGAGACTGCTTCTCCCCTGACGTCCCCCTCTGCACCTGCAGGCCGGCAGACGACCCTCGCCTTAGACTCCCTCCCTGGCTTGGCGTTCCTCAAATGGAACACTTCACCCTGAGTCCTCTCTCCTGCTCCGCCCCGCCCACCACCACTTTCAGCACCCCTACTAGACCCCCTAACTGCCGCAGAACAGATATTTCCCAAGACTCTGCCTGGGCCATCTTTTTTTTTAACATTTCAACTCTCAGGCAGGTTCCTACCTCTTGATTTTGATCCCCAAATCGCCCAGCGTGACATTTTCCTGTCCCTAACCTGGACCTCTCATCACACGGGAGGGGTTTTACAACCACAGGGGAACTGCTCTCAGTCTTCTCGCGATCCACACACCATCGTGTCTCCGGTAGGCCCCAGGTTTGCTTATTCGGGCCTGGACCACCCCTTCCTCTCCCCTGGAATCGCTGCAATGGCCTCAGAAACAGTAAGATTAAAAAAAAAAAAAAAGGAGACCTTTTATTCCCAAATAAAACACAGACACACACAGAAAGCAAATGTATGTCTTACTTCATTCTGAAGAGGCAAACGCCCCATGACTACCACCTAGACCAGCACACCCGCCTAATGCCTGACACCTCCCAAATGCTTGACATCTCCCACCATGTGCTTTGGGCCACCCCAATAGTGTCTTCTCTTATATTTTTGGTTGTGAGCCTAGACTTTAATGGCTGAGCCACCTCTCCAGCCCTCCAGTGTCCTCTCTTCTCTTCCCTTCCTTCCTTTCTTTCTTTTGTTGATACTTATTTTGATTTTCTGAGTGAGTCTTGATATATAACCCAGGCTGGACTCCAACTCACTTTGTAGCCAAAATTGACTTTGAAATCATGATTTTTCTGCTCATCCACCCCAATGCTGGGATTCTATGCAGCCATCTCTTCTCCTGGCTCTATCACGACATTTTATTCCCGTGTGTGAGTGTACCACGCGCATACCTGGTGCGTGGGGAGGCCAGGAGAGGGTACTGGGTTCCCTGAAACTGGTTGTGAGCTGCCTTGCGGGTGCTGGGAACGAAACCCGGATCTTCTGTAAGAGCATCGAGTGCTCTTAACTGCTGAGCCATGTCTCTAGTTCCAGATAATGACCTTTCAGCTGGTTTGTCTGCCGTTAGCTTTTCTAATTCACCACACATTCTAATTCACCTACATCTTCAGTTATTTCCTTCTTAGTTTTATGCCTTTTAAAACTGTTTCAACTGCTTTTCTTCCCTTGCTTTTTACTTGCAAAAGCATAGTTCAGTAGCTGTCTCCTCCATGAAGCATTCTACCCCACCCACCACCACCATTTGATCTCTTTATATTCACTCAGACTTACATCTTAGGAGCTGGTCTGTTATCTGTTATCTTGAGCTTTGCAAAGGTAGAAACTTTGCCTTATTCATCTTCATAGCCCCTAGGAGGCCAAAGTAACTATGGAAAGCACTAATTTTTTTTTTTTTTTGCATTGAATTGAATACGCCAATCAGACTAAAAATGTTATTCTTTAATGAAATTGTTTTCATATTAGGTAGTTTGAATGAGAATGGCCCCCATAGCCTCATATGTTTGGCTGCTTGGTCTCCAGTTAGTGGAACTGTTTGGGAAGGACTAGGAGGTGTGGCCTTGTTGGGGTAGGTGTGCCACTGGGAGAAGATTTTGAGTTTTCAAAAGGCCCACTCCAGGCCCATTCTCTCTCTCTCTCTCTCTCTCTCTCTCTCTCTCTCTCTCTCTC